TTCATCCAAGGATTGCATGAATCAGTCCTCCAAGAATGCCATGAAGCTCGCGCCAATTGCCAAAGATGCATAAATGCCGTTACTTCCCCAAACAAGAACAAGCAGCTACTGTAGATCCTGATCCAATGGTCCAAAAATGCTTTGCGCGGCCCATGTGGCGCCAGCAACCTGTAGTTTCGCGTCTTTTCTTATGAGCCTAGGATTTGGAATTTCTATGAACTCTATGAATTCTTACAACAGAAAGGATAGGTTCCTGTATCTTCTCTGGCTCATGAGACCTGCTGATGATGGGAACTCTCCAGGAGGTCCGACCCAACGTTACGACGAGACACTTGCAGGCACAAGCTGTACCTCAGGGACGTATACTCATACTTCCCTGCATGGCACTTCCTTTACCCCTTATCCCTCAAAGCCTAAACCCCTAAACCCTAACTAATCCTGCTAAACCCTCAACTCACCCCCGCAGGCCTGTATCCGCGCTTGAAGGGAAGCTCCTGCAATGCATTTATTGCCGCCTAAAACGTGACTTCCTGCCCCCAGGAAGCCAAGGATTCACATCAATAGGGTTCAGGGATCCTCGCCACATCCCAGCTGAGACATTACGTTTGGGAACAGAGGCCCACAATGAAAGAGCATACACCTAGTCAGTCTGTAGAGCAGAAGCGCAAACTTGCCGCCATCAGTCCTGAAGTTTCCATCTAAGTTCATGCAACTGCCACATTTTGGCTGCCAAGCAGCCAGTGTTCTTGTAAATCGATGACTCCCGGCGCTTTAGGGCATTGATTGTTCTGAAGAATGAATTATGCGCCGAGTCGTCATTGCCCAGTAGACAAGGACCCACGGCGTATATGTTTCTCACATCTTTGGATCCTAGCTGCGGCGAGGAGCTTACTGCGCAACATGCATTGGATGCATCACATGCCATAACCCCCGCACATAGCAGTCAACTCCCTGCAGCCCAAGCAGTAACCGGTTTGAACCCGAAATAGTAGCTTCCATTTTCTTCTCCATTTTCCCTATAAAGGCCCTATATAACACGTATATAGCCCCTATACAACCCTGAAACCTTAAACCCGACGCTTCTTTTAGACATCTCCCAACATGTTGTTAGAACCTTGCCTTGTTGGCCAGGTTCAGGTGCGCCCTCAGTGCAACCACAGATGCAGGTGTTTCCTAGGTGCTGTGCTTCTATTATTATTACAATTACTATTATTGTTATTATTTCTATTATTATTACTATTATTATTACTATTACCATTATTATTACTATTATTTTTACTATTACTATTATTAATACTATTAATATTACTATTATTAGTATCTGTGTGTCATGGAAGATTACCTGGGGCCATTATGTGGTGGGCTGAGGTTACGAAAGCCCAGGTGAAGCTTGGCAAAGTCTGCTTCACGTGGTGTGGTGGGGGGGAGCGGTATGCATGTGATTATATAACCTCTATATAACCCTATTATACTGTGATAGTTTCCGTTTTCTTTTCCTTTTTGTCGAACTATATATATATATATACATAATGATTCGGAGTTTCGAATTCTCACTTGACCTCTGCCCCACCACGTGCCAGCTTTTCTCGGTGACGTAGCTGACTGTTTAATGTCCTCGGACTGCTCTCATGGAGCCACGGCAACCTGAACTTGAAATGCCCTGTTGCATAAGAAGCAAAACAACAAGTTCAGAAATGTGTCAGAATTGCTTGATCGAAGTTGTACTTCTGCTTACTGTACTGCAAGCGCCAGATCATAACAAAACAGCATTAACACCCCTGCTTGTTACAATTTGCTCCACAGTAAGTTTCAAGGCGAGGATGTCGCATCTTTGCTCCACCCTAAACCCGAAACCCTGAAGTACCGACTGGGCTTTGGAACTTTCTTGTGGCCAGTCTTAATTTTCTTCAACATCAAAACAAGATGTTCTTCACATTTCTCTGGCTGCAAAAGAGCGTAACAAAGTCCTTCTTACAGTCCAGCCAGTCCTGTATCAATCCAAGACAACATCATTACTGGGCGGGCGGGCCTAGTCAAGCATTTACAAGCACTAAATGGATTGTCAAAATCAAGCAAAGCTCACCTTGCCAGAGCAGCATCAGACAGTATTGTGACCAATAACAAGTTTTCAGGAGGCAACCCCATATATATCCCTATAAAAACCCCGATTTTAGAATAACCCTAAGGACAGGAATGGCTGGCCTTGACTGTGAATCTTCGTCTGTCTAGTCTAGAAGCCTTATATGAGCTATAGTCTA